AGGGCTGCCCCAAAGAAGAGGGAGTCAAGCTATTCTCCAAAGCGCCTGAAGGCAGGACAAGAAGCAATGGATGGAAACTAACCAAAGAGAGAAGCAACCTAGAACTAAGGAGAAATTTCCTGCCAGGGAGAACAATTAGCCAGTGGAACAACCTGCCTCCAGAAACGGTGAATGCTCCAACACTGGAAGTTTTTAAAAAAGAAACTGGACAGCCATTTGTCCGAAATGGTATAGTGTTACCTGCCTGAGCAGGGGGTTGGACTTGATGACCTCCAAGGTCCCTTCCAACTTTATTATTATTATTATTATTATTATTATTATTATTATTATTATTATTACTACTACTACTACTACTACTACTACTACTACTACTACTACTACTACTACTACTATTATTATTATTATATTGGAGTGTCCCTTTTCACAATCCAAATTTATTTTCACTTGATGAGCTCGTAGACAGACCCAAGAGCTTCGTACAAAACTTTTACAAAGTGAAAAAAAGAAAGACAAATTAAAAGGCCAAGAAAGATGGAAAAAACCCTGTGGTTATACAGCTACCATTTTATTAAGACTTAAATTAGCTCTATTGGCAAAATACTATATCCTGTGTCCCTAACCCTAACCCTAACCATTCCCTCACAGACATTTAACTCTGTGTAGACTTTCTATTATTTTATAAGGCCTTGGTAAGACCGCACTTGGAATATTGTATCCAGTTTTGGTCGGCGCGATATAAAAAAGATATTGAGACTCTAGAAAGAGTGCAGAGAAGAGCAACAAAGATGATTAAGGGACTGGAGGATAAAACATCTGAAGAACGATTGCAAGAATTGGGTATGTCCAGTTTAATGAAGAGAAGGACGAGGGGTGACAGGATAGCAGTCTTCCAGTATCTCAGGGACTGCCACAAAGAAGAGGGAGTCAAGCTATTCTCCAAAGCGCCTGAAGGCAGGACAAGAAGCAACGGATGGAAACTAACCAAGGAGAGAAGCAACCTAGAACTAAGGAGAAATGTTCTGATAGTTAGAACGGTTACTCTCTTCAAGACAGCGGTTTTCTTAGGTTCTCCAATGAAAGGCATATAACAACCTCTAGTGGTTCCCATTTGAACAGCAAGACCTGTTCTGCTTTTCAGAAGTAGTCTAATCAACACAACAAAGTAACCAGCTATGCCGGTCAGCAAGAGTGGCGAGGATATAACCAACTTGGAACCGAGCAAATGGCAATTGTGCATGTACTGTATTTATCATGTATCTGAATTATTGAGAAATAGATGAACTAGGGACATCAACACTTGGAAGCCCTTTCCCTATATTCCAGCAGGTTTCAGGTGGTAGTAGCAAAAGTTGCCTAGAGCACCATCAGCCCCAATGTCCCAGTTCTAAATTTTTCCTGCACTGGATTCAAGAATCTAGAGAGGAATTCTAGGTGTCGTTGATAAAATGCAACCATTGGGAGACCTGATGAAGAAGCTCTACACCAGGGCTTCTCATGCTACGCAACTTTGAAGATAGGTGGATAGCATGGCTGGCTGGGGCATTCTGGGAGTTGAAGTCCAACTATCAAAAATGGCTCAAAATTGAGAAACAAGGATACCACATTCGTTCACAGAACAGATAATAAGAGGCAGCGCCAGAGTTCTAACAAGCTAACCTGAAGCAGGCTGACACACAATCGTGATTAAGACATGGTGGTTTCACAGATCAGCATGAGAAGCAGTAGTAGTGTAGTGGAAGCCTGGAACCAACTTCCAGCAGAGGTAGTCGGTCAATCATCAGTAACCCGAGTTTAAACATGCTTGGGGATAAACACGTGTCCATCCTCTGACAAAAATTAAAAATAAAATTTAAATAAAATATAAAAATAATAAGAAACAGGAAAAAAAACCTCAAAGGGCAGACTTGAGGGACCATTAGGTCTTTTTCTGCTGTCAGTTTTCGATGTTCCTGTGAGACTTTCACCCAGGTTATGATAAGCCAGGGGTCTTCAAACTTGGCCCTTTTTATGACTTGTGGATTTCGACTCCCAGAATTCCTCAGCCAGCATGGCTGGCTGAGGAATTCTGGGCGTCGAAGTCCACAAGTCATAAAAAGGGCCAAGTTTGAAGACCCCTGTGATAAGCAGTGCAAATTAAAGCTGCAGCAAATGTGAACCGAAAGGGCCTCCTCGTTGTGTGGAGAAGAGCGAAAACTTTGCTTCCCTTGGCCAAGGTTGCCTTCTCCCTTTGCACAAACACACACTTCTTTTCCCAAGGGATCACACATGCTAAACTCAAACCTTTACCTCACTCTAAAACTCCTTATATATTACCTTATGCTTCCGTTTCCCCTGTTCCAACTTGTAGGTCGTGAACATAAATTTCAGCGCATCAGATCACTTGGGCGACATTTTTCACTTTCCCCCAGTCAGCACATCCTATACCAGTTGAACACCAAGTGGCAGCTGTCAAAAGTAAAAACTAGCTCAGCCTCCTACAGATGTATTTCATCCCCTTCAGAGCTCCTGTAGTCTTCAGCGTCTTTTTTTTTAATGGCGATTCCCACTGATCTTTTTAATGTCCCTCCCTTAAACAGCCCCCAAGTCCATTCCTCTGGGATTGGTACAATTATGGCTTGATCCTCGACGCTACGTGTACTCCTTAAATAATCTTCCTTTAAATAATAATCTTCCTTTAAATAATAGCTTTCTACCGTCACTACAGTTACGATGACCGCCCAGGGATGGGTTTTGTCCTACTTGGGGCCTGTTGGACATAGATAGCCAGATGCTATCCTATGGGGTTCAAATCCTCTATCATGAATTCAATTCAGGGGTTTCTGTTCTTCAGATGACCAACGTTTTAAAAGTGTCCAGGTGTTGCACTCAAAAGTAGCACGACTGGATATATAGAATCTATCTATCAGAAGGGTATGTACAGCCCACCTTTGCTTTAACTGTCTGAGCAGACCAATGCAGAGGTTACATGATGTCATGTCCCCACGTATGGGTTTAGTCATATTGTTGTTAGTTGCGAAATCGTGTCCGACCCATCGCGACCCCATGGACAACGTTCCTCCAGGCCTTCCTGTCCTCTACCATCTTCTGGAGTCCATTTAAGCTCACGCCTACTGCTTCAGTGACTCCATCCAGCCACCTCATTCTCTGTCGTCCCCTTCTTCTCTTGCCCTCCATCTTTCCCAGCATCAGGCTCTTCTCCAGTGAGTCCTTCCTTCTCATTAGGTGGCCAAAGTACTTGAGTTTCAACTTCAGGATCTGGCCTTCTAAAGAGCAGTCAGGGTTGATCTCCTCTAGGACTGACCGGTTTGATTGTCTTGCAGTCCAGGGGACTCGCAGGAGTCTTCTCCAGCACCAGAGTTCAAAGGCCTCCATTCTTTGGCGCTCAGCCTTTCTTATGGTCCAACTTTTACAGCTATACATTGCAACTGGGAAAACCACGGCCTTGACTATACGCACTTTTGTTGGCACGGTGATGTCTCTTTAGTCATATAATACCCTGTAGATCAGCAGCCCCCAACATTTTGGGCACCAGGGACCGGTTCCATAGAGGGCAATTTTTCTGAAGATCGGTGGAGCATGGTTTCACACCCTGCCTGGATCCGCACTTGCACGGCTGGAGCTTCGCTCGCATGCACAGCCCAGTTCCTAGAGGGCTGTGGACCGCTGCTGGTCCAGAGCATGGGTGTTGGGGACCCCTGCTGTAGATGCTATCCTACAAGTAACTTTTGCAACTGATCCATTAAGGCAACACTAGTGACATGATTAACAAGAATGCAGGCTTTTATTTAGTCACTCAAATTAATCTACTTTCCAATCAGCACTCAATGAGGAGAATTGAAGGCAGCATGGTACACCCTGTGAAGCAGCGAGGTGGGGTCAATCTGCCTCTAGAGAGCGTTTCACTTTAATGAAAGGCTATGATCTGCATGCATTGCATTATTAAACTCAGACGACCATAAATGGGTCAAAAGACAAGCTGCGCAGTCATTCCAGTTTTGTATATAAAAATGCTGTGCAGCTTTTCAGACAGGCTAGTACTGAAACACATTTAGATCAAAGCTGAGCATACTTCTAGTAGACAAACACCACACACAATTCAACAGATCTCAGAATTATGTTCAAAGCTGATAAATGAAAATAATTTAAAATATAAGGAACGGTTGCTGCAATTGGGTATGTCTAGTTTAATGAAGAGAAGGACGAGGGGGGACAGGATAGCAGTCTTCCAATATCTCAGGGGCTGCCCCAAAGAAGAGGGAGTCAAGCTATTCTCCAAAGCGCTTGAAGGCAGGACAAGAAGCAACGGATGGAAACTAATCAAGGAGAGAAGCAACCTAGAACTAAGGAGAAACTTCCTGACAGTTAGAACAATTAACCAGTGGAACAACCTGCCTCCAGAAGCGGTGAATGCTCCAACACTGAAGTTTTTAAGAAGAGACTGGACAGCCATTTGTCCGAAATGGTATAGGGTTTCCTGCCTGAGCAGGGGGTTGGACTAGATGACCTCCAAGGCCCCTTCCAACATTATTATTATTATTATTATTATTATTATTATTATTATTATTATTATTATTATTATTATTATTATTATTATTATTACTTAAAAAAAGTTTTTTGATGTTTAGTGCAATGTATTCTCTTCTATATAGATTTAACTCGTGCAAACCTAACCTGTAATTATAAACATGATTACGTACATGACCATGTGCGGTAGCCTTTACTACTTTCAAGCAGAGCGACAACACAAATAAAATCTCAAAAAAACACTGAATGCTATTGTGCTTTTTTTCTGAAACCATTTCTCCATGGCAGGGGGGAAAAAAAAAGTGGTTGCGTACAAATGACAACGTATTTTTTTCTGTAACGGGAAGACGTTTATCAGTGTGAAGAAACTGGGATGGAGGTAAGAAAACAAGAGGAGTGCTCTTCCACAGCCTCTAAATCCCCAGACAATAACAACAGCAGCAGCAATAACAACAACAACAAAGACTTAAAAATACCTGTGACCTCGGATGTCAGACTGGTCACAGACGCCGCCTAAGGCGATCCGGTGGAACTCTCTGCCCAAAGTCTTTGCCACCGATCGGCCCACGCTTGTTTTCCCAACTCCGGGGGGTCCCACGAAGCACAGGATGGGCCCCTTTAAATTGTTCTTGAGCTGCCTGACTGCCAAATACTCCAACACCCGCTTCTTCAGTTTCTCCATGGCGTAATGATCGTTATCCAGAAGAATCCTGGCGGCACGGATATCCAGGCAATCTGTTTAACCCAAACACAGAAACTTTTTTTTTACACCCTGAGCTAAAGCAATTCTTCCGGCAACCGGAAGAATACCATTACAGGTAGTTCCTCGATTTACAACGGTTCATTTAGCGACCGTTCAAAGTGACAAACGGCACTGGGAAAAGGGACTTGCGACCGTTTTTCACACAACCACTGCAGCATCACACACCTCCCCCCCCGTGGCTATGTGATTCGGAGGCTTGGCGACTGGTTCCCATTTATGACGGTCGCAGCATCCCAAGACCATGTGATCTCCTCTGGCGACCTTCAATGGGGAAGCCAAGTTCGCTTACTGACCACTTTACTTAACAGCTGCAGGGATTCCCCTAACAACGGTGGCAAAAAGGTCGTAAAATGAGGCAAAGCTCAATTAACAGGGTGTCTCACAAATCTGGGATTCAACTGCGGTCGTAAGTCGAGGACCGCCTGCATTTAGAGGATATTTCTATGATCTTTTCTTTTTTTTTAAATGGCATTCTCATCCTAAGAAAACAACCCACTGACCTTTTGTATTCTTGCTCCAAGGTAATTCCACCATCAGTTCCAAATAATTCCGGGTCAAGGCATATTCCGGCATGGATTGAGGCATCTTCTTTAACCTAGAAAAACAGATAAACCTCTTTAGCTGAAGAGCTGAAATCCAAGCCTGCGGATTACAAGAGCAAAGAAATGAAAGTGCAACCAGCATGTTGTTGGAACCCTTCGTGACATCCTAGCTTGCACTAATACAAGCCATGGCACGACCTTTCTTGACACAGTTGTTAAGTGAATCATGGCAGTTGATAAGTTGGTCACGACTACATTGTGTTTTACGACCTCCAGTCAAAACTGGATAAAAGGTGGAATATTGTCCTAAAGGATTAAGTAGTTCTGAATGAAGGTTTCACCGGTTCCTGCATCGCAGAACCAAAATGTATTTCTTAGAATTATCTAGTCTCAATGGCGCCTTTCTGGTTGCTGCATTGTCTCTGAAGTTAAGACTTAATTTTGCTTTAAGTGCTTTTAAAAGCCTGTAACACTAAACCTTCTCATTAGCATCTAGCACAGAGAGAATTTTAGATGAAAAGTTGAAGCCAATTTAGAATTCCAGAAATGAACTACAATATTAAAGAGTAACTGGCTGTCTTTAAACCCAGTCTTGGCCACATCATCCTGTCATACAGCATCACAGTCTGCTTTGGAAGCATCCCTGCTTCAGACAGGAAGGCGGTGCAGAGAGTGGTGAGGACGGCAGAAAAGATTATTGGCAGTTCCCTCCCTCCCATCCAGGCCGTGGCATATAAGCGTTGCTTGAGCAGGGTCTGCAAGATTGTCTGGGACACGACACATCCTCTCCACAACCTGTTTTCCTTGCTACCTTCTGGGAGGAGGGGGCTCCGTGGTATCCGAAGCAGAACATCCAGATTCAGTCAACAGTTTTGTACCGTACAGTATTAACCTTGTGAACTCTAAAGCTTCCTCCTTCCGTTATGCATTCAAGATGGACAGTGATTAATAGTTATATGCTACTTATAGGTAAGGCTGTGGGTCTAAACATACGTTGTATATAGTTTGTTTAAAAATGTGTTATGTATGTGTACACTTTGAGAGCAAGCAACTCAATTTCATTTTTAATGTGTGCTGTTGTGCCCACAGTAATAAATGATAATAAAGGTTCTCTAATCTAATTTAATCTAATGTAATCTAGTCACACGGTTGTTAAGTGGATCTGGCTTCCCCCACTGCTTGTCAGAAGGTTGCAAAAGCAGAATCCCTTGACCTCAAGACACAGCAACGGCCGTAAATATGAATCACTTGCCAAGCATCTGAATTTTGATCACACGATCATGGGGCTGCTGCAAAGGCCGTAAGTGTGAAAAACGGTCGTAAGTTGCTTTTTTTTCAGCGCCGTTGTAACTTTGAACGGTCACTAAATGAACTGTTATAAGTCGAGGACTACCTATGTAAGGCTTACATTCCGTTTGGCTTAACGTTCAGAATGTTTGCCAAAGGTTACAATCGGAGGGCATTTAATGCTGCTAAACAGGCCCAGGTCTTTAATGTATCTGGAAAGGGATCCTGTTCTGTACTTCAATAGATTAGAAACATTTCTAATTCACAACATCCAGTTCTTGTACTTACAAAATCCTACTCAGTGTATGTGAAACAGTAACATAAAAACCACATCGCAAGAGCAGCGTTATGCAACTAAGACTGCAATCCCAAGCATGTGTCAACCCTGCTGCTAACATCGGATGTTCTTGCTTCGACAACAGATGGAAACGCGGCCATTTTTCTCTATTGCTTTTAGAGTTAGTTGATGCTGGGAGATGGAATGTGGATGAGAGTCCAGCTAGTCATAACAATAACAACTCAGCAGTGGGAACCCAAGGTCATTGGGCCCAGAGTTGATAGAGTTTTGGCGGGCTGGAGAGCTGGGGAGGAAGCCCGAGCTTCAAGCTAATTGGGGAATGTGATTTATGACTGTTTATTGGAGGAAGGAATTGTGCTTTGATACTTTGTATTCAGGGGAGGGGAATTTAGATTTTGGCTTCGACTATGTAGTGCCGATACTTTGTTTCTTGAATAAAAGTTTAAGGTAAACAATGCCTCGAAGTTCTTTTGAAGAGTTTCATCTGTCGCAACCATGACAGCATGCTTATTTGGAAATAAGATTTACCAAACTTAACGGGAGTGTCTTCTCAGCACGACTGGCCTTTGATGCATGTTTATTTGTTATTTGTTAGAGTTAGACCCCACCCATCCTTTAGGTTATTCCAGATTACAATCACTCTTTAAAACAGCGCACAGAACAAAGGTAAGTGATCTTCTGAGTGGAAGCCAAAATCAAAGACAAAAAGTACCCGTAAATTAATAACGTGTGCTTTTGCCGTCAATAAATTACACATGCTTCGCTAACAGAAGGGGATCGATCCACAAGAAAGTGATGAAAAACTCACTGGACCTTTTAACTTCCTTGAGGCAGACTTTGAGAGCTGGCTCAGGCATGCGAGAGGCTCGGATATTTTTTTCAAGAATAATAATATCATCGTGGTCTTCATCCTCCTCCTCATCTTCCATGGCACCTGGAATGTGGCCAATCCGCCGCATAGGACGTATTGCTACGATCTAGGAAATTGAAAAGTGGGAAGAGTAAATTACTTCAGGCAACTATCAATTAATCAATCAATCAATCAATCAATCAATCAATCAGAATAGAGCTGGAAGTGACCTTGGAGGTCTTCTAGTCCAACCCCCAGCTCAAGCAGGAGACGGGTGGCTGTCCAGTCTCTTCTTAAAAGCCTCCAGTGAGGGAGTATCTACAACTTCTGGAGGCAAGTCGTTCCACTGATTAATTATTCTAACCGGCAGGAAATTTCTCCTTAGTTTCAGGTTGCTTCTCTCCTTGATTAGTTTCCATCCATTGTATTTTGTCTTGCCTTCTGGTGCTTTAGAAAAGAAGTTGACCCTCTCTTCTTTGTGGCAGCCCCTCAAATAATGGAATGCTGCTATCAAGGCATCTCTAGTCCTTCTTTTCTCTAGACTAGCTATACCCAATTCCTGCAGCCCTTCTTCGTGTGCTTTAGTCTCCAGGTCCTTCATCATCCTAGTTGCTCTTCTTGGCACTTTTTCCAGAGTCTCGACATCTTTTTTGTAATATGGTGACCAAAACTGGATGCAGTATTCTAGGTGTAGTCTATAACCAGGATCAAATGAGCTCACAATCCTCTTAAAAGATTGCTGTAGATCGCAAAGTATGGAAATCTAAACCCACACCCTATATTAAAAGTGGGAAACACATTCCTTATATCAAGTCAACCATTATCTATCTAGCCCAATCATGTCTCTGTTACCCGCTTGCAGTTCTCAAGTTTCAACCAGACTTGCCTGGCCTTGTCTGGAGATTAGAAGGATGAACTGAGGGCCTTTTGCAAGGGCAGTATGTATTTTACTGTTGAGTTACAGCCTCAATTTAGTTTGCCTCCTTACTGCTTTTTGCTATTGCTAAATCAGGGCTGTTGCTAATTCTTATCCCATGCCAAATAAATTACACCCACATAGGACCATTCATACGCCTTAAAGTAAATCATTGAATTACAAACATACCCTTTTGTCATCGTCCTGCTTGTGTTTTCTGGTCTTCTGCAGAAGCTTCAAACCTTCAATCTGTCTAACGAGCAACGGTATGGTCATTTTGAACCGTTCTTCTAAACCAATAGTATCCAGGATCTAATAGAAAAATACAAAAATTATTAAGTGCCTTGCCTTCTTCTTGGATTTTTAGAACAGCTCAGATTTCACCACAAAATGTGCCTGCCTAATCTGAAACGGATCCGAGGAAATTAAAGCTTCGTAAGCTATCAGAATCCATCTTGTACGTGCTCCTGTTCCACTGCTATTTATGAGGGGAAATAAAGCTAGCTGGACATATCCCATAATAGGGATTTGCTGAACAAATCATCATCTCCTGCCTGCTGTGTAATATTTCATAATGCTATTGATATCTTTGCTATTTGTGTCGGCTAGGCAACAGTGAAAGAAAACAGCAGACAAACACTGAAAAATACATAACAATACTATTCCCCCTTAGGAATGCTGGAAAACATTGAAAGCTCCTGATAGCAGGGGAACTATTTGTTTCCAGGTGTGGAACTGGAGAAAAAGGATAAAAATGCAGGGTTTGGGAAAGGATACTAATGGAATTCAGGCAGGCACAAGAAATCAAATCTGAGAACCTGTCTGATATGGTCTATCTTCCTCCGTACCAATATTTCCTCAATCTAGTGCCACACAGATGTGCTAGAGCAGGGGTCCCCAACCCCTGGTCCATGGACCAGTACTGGGCTGTGGCATGCCAGCAACCGGTCTGCACAAACAACCAAAGCCCCATCCATGGGATGCAGGCAGCACACAAAACCACGCACTCTCTGGTCCGTGGAAAAACCTTTCTCCACGGAACCAGTCCCTGGTGCCCAGAAGGTTGGGGGCCTCTGTGCTAGAGAACAAATTCCATCACTCTGGAACACCACCAATATCAAAAGTCAGGAACACTTTGGTGTTCCACCCCAGCCCCAATTCCACCACCCAAGATGCCTTATTGAAGGGTGGCCACATGGACCTTAGAATCCTTAAATCATTTGCTAGACATTCTAGACCAGCATGTTTCTCAACCTTGCAACTTGTAAGTTCCATGGACTTCAACTCCCAGAATTCCCCAGCCAGCATGGAGTTGCCATGGTTGAGAAACACTGAATCTAGACAAAATGCCAGTTGAGTTTCCTTTAGACAAGCAAAGTATAACTACTGACATCAGGGAAAGCGTGCTGTGGTTAACAACACACCAGCTTTTGGAGCGGAAGCGTGTGGGTGCTGAAGATACCACAATTAGAAGGGAAGCACATTGTCAGCGTACAGAACTTAGTTGCAGCTATATATAACTGCTGTATATACAGTGGTACCTTGGTACTCAACTGTTTTGAAACTCATCAAATTTGATACTCAACGCATTTTGACATGGAAATTTTGTCCTGGTACTCACTGTTTGGTACTCAATGCACAAGCTAAAACTTGTTGGTGTCAGCTGCCTTGTGACCCATATATTTTCCCTTATGGGAAAAATTGTTTAGTACTCATTGTTTTTGGTACTCATCACACCTCCTGGAACCAATTAACAAGGAATACTGAGATACCATATTTCATGGATGAAGGACTATAACCAGATAATAAGTTTGTTAATCTTTTAAGAAAATTGCAAGTGTTGACAAGAAGACTCTTTCTGCTCTAGCTTGGCAGTTCTTAGTGTTTTGGTAGGTTTCAACATTCAAAATTAAAATGGCCTTTCCTCTGTGAAGCCAGAATGGAAGCAGTGCTTGATACCTGAAGTTTCTCCCGGTTGCTGGTACGGATGATCGAGGTGACTATATCTGGTAGAGCTTCTCTGGGTAGATTGTCCAACAAGCGTCTCAGTTTTGCCACCGCCGGGATGGACATATCCAACATCTCAACCAGCTTTGTCAAAGATGGGGTAAAAATGTAAAGCAACATTTTAACACTGGT